GTGTGTGTGTGTGTGTGTGTGTGTGTCCCCTTCGCTGCTGGCTACCCCGGGCTCCGCTGCCCCCCATGAGGGCCTGGCATCAGTTGGAGGGAGATCAACAAGCTTCAAGCTGCTGATCTCTCCTTTGATGTATTACATCACTTCCGGTGTCACGGTTTACATTCTCCGGCTCCTAGAGACACGAGAAGAAGCTGGGGAAACAGATCTCTGCTTCATCAGCTTCTTTGGGGTCCCTAGATGACATCAGGGGTCTGAAAGACCCCTGATGTCTCCATAAAGAGGACCTGTCACATCATATTTGCTATTACAAAGGGGGCTTGTTTATTGCTATATGATAGCAATAAAGTTACGTGTAAAAGAAAAAAAAAATTTAAATGAAAAAATGAAAGTAACATATAAAAAAAATTAAAAAGTCCTCGTCCCCATACATACAAATGCAAAACACGCGTTGGGTGCGCCTACGTGCAAAAACGAATATAAAGCCACACGTTACATATCACCGCGAACGTCTAGGGTCATCCATCACCGTTAACACTAAACTGACGTCGCCTATGGAACATTTTGGGCATTGTAGTTTTTTTGCCGTTTCATGCACGCATGCAATTTTAAGACTCAACATGTTTGGTATCAATTTACCCAGTGTGACCCAGCCTTTTATATTTTACCATTAGATAATATATAATCGTTGGGGGTTTTAAGCTGTTTGAGCCAAAAATTCAGATTTTATTATGTGCGTGCAAATAGTAAGACATTGCTCCAGACAGCAAGTACTTATTGAGCATTATGCCACGCCTTAATGTGCGTTGCTTTAAAGTGTTGTTCCACTTTTGTAGTCAAATTTGAGAAAACCCCTCTATATGTTTGTGTTCCCATTTACACAGCATAACTAGAAAGAACATTTAGCAATATATTTCTTACCTTTTATCTGTTTCTTTAGTGAAAGCCTTTGTGCTGATTCCAAGCTATTCTGAGCAGGTTGAGAGCGAAACTATAGTGTCAGACTGAGCTTCCTCTTACAACCCCAAACCTAAAAAAGTTGGGACGCTGTGTAAAATCTATATTAAAACAGAATGCAATGATTTGCAAATCTCATAAACCCATATCATAATTCTTTTTCAGGGAAGGCCTTGCATATTTCAGCATTTAAGCTAAATCGCATACTGCATCTATTACAACAGCATGGCTTCATAGTACAAGAGTCCGGGTGCCTAACTGGCCTGTCTGCAGTCCAGAAGTTTCACCAAATAAAAATATTCAGTGCATCGTGAAACAAAAAATAAGAGAAAGAAGACCCAGGATTGTTGAGAAGTTAGAATCCTATATCAGGCAAGAATGGGACAACATTCCTCTCCCAAAACTCCAGCAACTGATCTCCTCAGTTCCCAGATGTTAACAGTGTTGGTAAAAGAAGAGGGGATGCTACACCGTGGTAAACATGGCCCTTTCCTAACTTTTTTGAGACATGTTGCTGCCATCAATTTATTGCGCATTCCCTCCTCTAGATGCAACGGAGGAGCATACGAATATCCATGGCTCTATCTAGTGGCAGGAATGCCATCCAAATGGCATTTGCCCAGCGATTGGCTGGGCCAAAGTTTTATAAATCATCCCTTGTGTGGAATGTATAGGT